GCGGAGCAGAATGTGGGTCGGATCATGAATTAGTAATCGCGAAACTTCGACAAAAACTTAATATAAAAAAGAGAAAAGAAAACCGTTTCGATTTTGAGACTTTTAATTTGGAAAAATTAAAAAATCCATCAATTAGAAACCAATTCGAGCTAGATGTTAAGAATAGGTTTGAAGCTTTAGAGCTTCCTGACGAGGACCACGAGGATATTGACAAGTTATGGATAGAGATCAGGGATAATATTAAAGCGGTCGGTAACTCGTGTCTAGGAAAAAAGGAAAATAAGAATAACAAACCGTGGTTTGATGAAGATTGCTTAAACATGTGTGAAAAAAGAAAAGCCGCTAAATTAAAAGCTCTAAATAATCCTAACGAAGACAATCTGGAATACTTCCGAATCTCAAAGAACGAAACGACAAAATTGCTCAAAAATAAAAAAAGGGAGTATCTTAAAAATAAAATAATTGAAATAGAAACTAATAGAATCCAAAATAACGTAAGAGACATGTACAAAGGTATAAACAGATCACGTAAATATGTAGGGCCCGTAACGTCTGGAATTAGGGATGATAATAACAATATTCTGACCGATCCGGTTGACATATTGAATAAGTTTAAGGACCACTTTGACAATATATTAAATACGGGAAATTATGATCTGTGTCCTCCTTCTGAGTACCAGAGTGCTGAACCGTTAATAGAAGGACCAAGTAAAGAGGAAGTTGAAGTAGCTATCGGAAAATTAAAATCATATAAAGCAGCGGGAATCGATAATATTCCTACTGAACTAATTAAGGCATGCGGGGAAGCTGGAGTTTCTAAAATACATCGGTTGGTTAAAAAGATCTGGGTGAACGAGAAATTACCTGAAGAATGGAAAGAATCTATTCTTATTCCGATTCACAAAAAGGGTCCGAGGACGGATTGTAATAACTATCGAGGAATTTCACTCCTTCCGGTATGTTATAAAATATTCACTTTTATCTTAACCAGTCGAATCACGGAATACGCCGAGGAAATTATCGGAGACTACCAATGCGGATTTAGACGGAATCGTTCGACAATTGATCAAATATTTTCTTTACGGCAAATATTAGAGAAAAAATTGGAGTATAACGGTATTGTTCACCAGCTGTATATAGATTTTAAAAAGGCTTACGATTCTATTGACCGCCAGAAACTGTATAATATTCTAATCGAGCAGGGGATTCCAAAAAAACTAGTAAATCTAGTCAGGATGTGCTTGACGGAGACACTCAATAAAGTTAGAATCGGTAATAATTTGTCCGAAAAATTTGAGGTTCGTTCGGGCTTAAAACAGGGGGATTCTCTTTCGCCTGTCCTGTTCAATTTGGCATTAGAACATGCCATTAGGGAGGTAATGCGAACCGAGAAAGGGTTGGATCTGGGTGGGACAACATCCGTGCTGGGCTATGCGGATGATCTGGTACTGTTAAGCGAAGACGTTGAAACTATAAAACTAAATACGACAACGTTAATGAAAGCCGGTAAAGAACTAGGACTCGAAATAAACGTGGATAAAACAAAATATATGGTTAGCTGCAAAAATGGCGATACTACTGGTGATATCGATATAGATGGTAATATGTTTGAACAGGTAGATAAATTTAGGTATCTAGGTTCTACGATAACTAGAAAAAACGAAATTGAAGAAGAGATTAAGGTTAGACTGAAGGCGGGGAATGCTTGTTATTTTTCTGTGACAAAACTACTTAGTTCGCGCCTCTTGTCCCGAAACTTAAAAATTAGAATCTATAAAACAATTATCTTGCCTACAGTTCTTTATGGATGCGAAACTTGGCCGCTTACATTAAGGGATGAGCAGCGTCTTAAGGTTTTTGAAAATAAAGTATTGCGTAGAATATTCGGACCGAAGAAGGATGAGTTAACCGGAGAGTTCAGACGGTTACACAACGCCGAATTGCGTGAGCTGTATCCGGGTAATATAATTGAGGTAATTTCATCGCGGCGAATCAAATGGGCTTGTAAAGTTGTTGGGCTTAGTAACGAGAGAATTCCTAAAAGGTTAATATGTGCGGTGCCGAATGGTAAGCGTCCGAGGGGTAGACCGAAGCGAAGGTGGGAAGATTGCATTAAAGCCGATCTGAAGGGACTGGGTTTGGACAGCGAGCGGTGGAGGGAGGTGTGTAACAAGCGATTGGTGGTGTCGGCATCGAACCTTCGGGTTCGCTAAGCCTTATTATTATTATTATAAACAAAGTTTATGAGTCGCTCATTTCCATAGATATTTTCGATAGAACTCGAATAGATATTTTTAGAAATCGATACACGACATAGATACGGCACCCGCAGTAGTGCTATATACTTAATAGGTATGTCTTCACTCGTAAAATGGATGGAACAAAAATTAATAGGAAAAATTCAACTATTTGTTCGAAGTTAACGAGACCAATACTTTTCTTCAGTCAGAACAAAAATAATTAAGCTGGAATATAAAAATATGAGTGAAGTTGGCACAATTTTGATATTTAAGGAGAAAATCGAGACCACGGCGAGCTGGTTGAGCTTCAATGGAAATAAACACAATCATAAATTAGATTTATAATTAAATAAATTATGTGTTTTTTTTTTACTGAAAATTACACGAAATATATGTAACAGCAATAAGTGGCATGCCAGTAACGTTTGGGATCGACCACATTTCACAGCCATTATATTGTAAACAATTATTTGTATTAATTTTAATTATTTAAATTCCTTTCTTTATCCTCTGGAGTTGCCCAGGGTTCAAGCATATCTCCTCTCCTTTTCAGATCCTACATTAACGACCTACCTAAATCAATTCTCCATTGTTCCCATCACCTTTATGCAGACGATTCACAGATGTACCTATGATTTTTCCCTCCTGAGTTACTGGGGGCATTTGCCAAGATCCAAGAAGACCTAGATCGAATCAGTGCCTGGGCAAATGTTAACGGATTAAGGTTAAATGCCGCCGAAACTCGGGCCATTGTCATTGCTTCCAAGCCACTTCTTAGATCCCATACAGACTTTCCCATCCTTCACCTTAATGACCAGCCAATCTCCTTCTACTCCTCTGTTAAAAATTTAGGATTTTTCATTGATCAAACCCTCTCCTGGAATCACCATATTTCTCATATCTCTCGACGGACAATTTCCACCCTCAAACTATTCCATCGCTTCCGCCACCTCCTACCTCAACATACGCGTAGACTCCTAGTTTCCTCTCTCATTTTCCCCCTCTTTGACTATAGCTGTGTGGTGTATGATGACCTCTCTGTGGAGCGATAGACTGAAAAGATTAATGAACAGCTGCGTAAGATTTCTGACCGGGGCCCCAAGATACTCCCATGTCTCTCACCACTACGCTGAGTTAAAGTGGCTTTTCCCCTCCTTCCGAAGAAAATATTTCCTAGGTACGTTCCTCTACCAAATCATCAACAACCATCGTCCTTCTTACGCCTACAACCTTCTCCAGTTCAAATCCTCAGTCCATTCCCTGTCCACAAGATCTCGACCTTCTAATCTTTACATGCCTTTTCACAGATCTGCCTCATTCCAAAATTCCTTTATTGTTCGCTCTGTCAATTTCTGAAATTCCCTCCCTATCAGAATTCGACATTCCCCATCCATATCCACATTCAAAACCCTCCTATTCCAATTCCGATCCCAAAAACAGTCAGATAGTTGCTAACCATTCGAGCTGATTTTAATAGAGAATTTGATACATTTTTATTTTTTAATTCTTTGTTGTTTTCTTTAAAGTGTATACTGGTCTATCAGTGCAAATAGTTTCAAGTGTCTTGCCATAGTATTAATTGTTTTGTATATAGTTTCGTTTATTTTGTATATAAATTTTTTACCTATTAAATATTTTTTTTACATTTTTTTTTTTTGATTGATTTCATTTTGGCCAGATGTAATCTTTTAATTTGTTCTATTTTGTTATTCTCAAGGGACTGTGTCCCAGAATAACGTTATTTTTCTATTCTATTCTATTCTAAATTAATGCAATTCATAGAAAATTTCTATACTGCTCTCCAAATCTCCTCCAAGTTTGGGTCAATCGAATGCGCCGTTTTCAAACTATAGGCAGATCAAATAACACATTTCCTGATCTGGAAGCGAAAGATTTTTGTTTTTTGGAGTATTAGATAAAAATCGATGCCTATTTCATTTTACCAATCCCTAAATTCCCTCCAAGGTCGAGCCAATCGAACTTGAGGTTTTAGAGATGTAGATGTATCAAGGAAAACACATTTTCGCATATAAGCAATGGACAGAATTCAACCAAATTGATTCTACATTTTTTTTTTTTTTTTACAAAACTTTGAACCAAATCGAACAAGCCAAATATTGGCATGTCTACAAAAATGCGTTTGCGTGTGCGTAAGCGGAAGTGCCTGTTAGAATTTAATAAAACTGATATCTAACCATCTAGATGCCAACCCGCACAATTCCTGAAAATCGGATAAACGTTAGCAGGTGATATGCCCGTTACATTGATTTGACTACAGACAGACAGACTCCGAACAAGTTTGATTCTTGATGTCTGAAACGTAAAACACGAGTAGAAATTTGGGTTTCTGAGCACAACATTTTTGTTAATCTCTCGCACGAATAGAATGCTTTCTTATCATCGGTAGTGAGCAAGTAAAATTAAAGAAAAAAATGACACTTATTAATTTAGATATTATCAACCTGATAGTGTATGGAATATTTATAGCTATTGAAGTTTCCTATATCTTGACTATTTACTTTGTTATTTTTGTTCTCTAGCACTTATCCTCTTATCCACTTAACCCCTCAATTGCAATTCATTATCGCTTATTAAATTATTATCTATTTATTCTATGTATCTATGCGTTTATACATACTCACTGACTCTTGGCCGTTTATATTTTTCATTTTTTATATTATTCAGTCTGGTAGGATGCTGTTGTAGTCCTTGGTTTGTTGACTGTGTAGTTCCGCTCCTCGAGGTCGCAACACTATTTTAATGTCTAATAAATCTCTCCCCCCCAACTTGTTATTTTTCGTTAGAATTGTACTTGAGTATAGATTAAAAGTGGTTAGGAGCGGACACTGCAACAAATTTTCTAAATTTAAGATTTTACATAAATAGGTGGATAATTTGGCGTCCCAGGTTATTGATACTACTAAACTTCGGATTTTTTTTTTTAAATATAGTTTAAGCCGAATGTCCCAGTTGATAAATTAGATATATGATAGATTTATGTCAAACTGAATTTTAAATTTAACTAACAAAACAAACTTCAGTTATTTTGATTTATTATTTCCAAAAATCAACCTTTGTAATCGACCAAGAAAAAAAAATGTACCCCTCCTCCAAAATTGTGGTTTTACGTTTCAATGTAGAACAAAAAAAAACTGCCCATCTACGGATTTGGTATGAATTTCAAAGGGTACCCGCTGACACGGGTACCCACAAGGTGATTCTCATCATAATTTTTGAGTAGAGTACATTTACATGAGATTTTGAATTTTTGACGGGGGCGCATTTCGACGGAATTATGAATTTTCGGATTGAAAAGTTTTAAACGAGAAGACAAAGGGAATATATGGAACAAACCTTAGCAAGTGTAATTGTATATGTGAGAAGGAATTAGTCGAGGGTGCGGTCAAAAAAATAAAAAAAAATTAAAATATATAAATAATTTTAATTTTTGCCGACGTTTCGACCCACTTTGCAGGTCGTCTTCAGGGCTACAAAAGATACAAACATGTTGAAAAAATAAAAATAAAATAAAAAATAAATATAAGTATATATAAATTACGAAGAAGTTGTCAGATACAGAAATAAAAGATAAAGAAAATAAATACATGATAAGAAAATAGATAAAAGAAAATAAATACATGAATGTTAACGAATAAATGAATGTTAACGAATAAATTGATTGAAAATTGAATAACTATTGTTACAGTAAAGTTAAAATATGGATAAGATAACATAATAATAAGATATCAGTGGATAACAAGCAAGTGGAGGTTACCTTTAATTGTAAATAAACAGATAACGGGACCAAAGGTTAAGAAGTGAAGAAATTGAAAGATTAATAGGGTAACATTAGTGTAATATTGTTGGGATAGATTATTAAGTATAAATAACTCTATAAGAAAACAATAATTTTAAAAGAATACTTTAAAATGTAAGAATAAATGTAAAAACAAGGTTATGATGATAAAGAAACAAAAAACAGGTTGTACTATATATAGATGACAATTGACATTTAGTTTTTTGAAAGCGGTAATGGAATGGTAGGCTATATGAAGATAATAATAAGGTGTATAGTTGAAGGATAGGTGTGTTAAGAAAGGAATCTCAATAAAAGTCAAAACATACCGTTGGATGTGGCACTGCGGGAGGCGGTTGAAACACTGGCAGTGTCAAAAACTCTAGTTAGCAGTGTCAAAAAAAAAGTTCTAGTAAAAATAACCATATATATAATAAATATATATATAATAAATTTATATATATATATATATAATAAATTTTAATAAATATATTTTAATAAATATATATATTATAATAAATATATATATATATATATAAATTTAAATATTATATATATATATATATATAATAAATAACAATATATATAATAAATCTATATATATATATATATATATATATATATATATATATATATATATATAAAAGGAGAAGTAAAAGAAAGTATAAATGGAAGTGAGAAGATTAAATAGAGGTTTATGATCGAGACTTTTTTAAAATGTTGATGATTTGGGAGTAGGCGAGTGATAGATTTTGCTTGTCGGTTTTTAAGTTTAGTGGTTTGTAGTCTAATTGAATGAAAACACTTTCCGTAAGTAGTCTTTTGTCGTGGTTAGGTACTGTGGCAAGAATGGAGGTATTGTCAAAGTCAAATGTGTGGTTTGAGGTTAAGGCGTGTTCAGAGAGTTTAGAAGCAGTAGAGTTCTTAGAAGTAATTGAGTATTTGTGTTGTTTGATGCGGTCTTTAAGTTGGTTTTTGGTTTCTCCAATATAGGCGGAGTTACAATTGGTGGTAGAGCAAGGAATGCGGTATACGATATTAGAGCGGTGTTGCGGAGCGATGGGGTCTTTTAGGTTGGAGTAAATATTGGCAAGTTTGTTATAGTTTTTAAAAGCAACTCGCAGGTTGGGAATAGAGGAACGTAAAGATTTTTGAATTCTATCCGAAAGTAAAGGGATGTATGGTAGAGATCTATATAAAGGAATGGGGGGCTGATTTTGAGAACTAGAGAAAGGGATGGAGGATGAGGGGCGGGTTTTGTAGTCAGTAATAAGTTTTTTAATGGTGTTGGAGGGGAAGTTATTAGACAATAGTATCCGTTGTATGCGTCTAGTGTTTTTCTCTATTGACCCTTACCTACATGAAACAAACACTAGACGCATACAACGGATACTATTGTCTAATAACTTCCCCTCCAACACCATTAAAAAACTTATTACTGACTACAAAACCCGCCCCTCATCCTCCATCCCTTTCTCTAGTTCTCAAAATCAGCCCCCCATTCCTTTATATAGATCTCTACCATACATCCCTTTACTTTCGGATAGAATTCAAAAATCTTTACGTTCCTCTATTCCCAACCTGCGAGTTGCTTTTAAAAACTATAACAAACTTGCCAATATTTACTCCAACCTAAAAGACCCCATCGCTCCGCAACACCGCTCTAATATCGTATACCGCATTCCTTGCTCTACCACCAATTGTAACTCCGCCTATATTGGAGAAACCAAAAACCAACTTAAAGACCGCATCAAACAACACAAATACTCAATTACTTCTAAGAACTCTACTGCTTCTAAACTCTCTGAACACGCCTTAACCTCAAACCACACATTTGACTTTGACAATACCTCCATTCTTGCCACAGTACCTAACCACGACAAAAGACTACTTACGGAAAGTGTTTTCATTCAATTAGACTACAAACCACTAAACTTAAAAACCGACAAGCAAAATCTATCACTCGCCTACTCCCAAATCATCAACATTTTAAAAAAGTCTCGATCATAAACCTCTATTTAATCTTCTCACTTCCATTTATACTTTCTTTTACTTCTCCTTTTATATATATATATATATATATATATATATATATATATATATATATATATAGATTTATTATATATATTGTTATTTATTATATATATATATATATATTTATATTATATATATATATATATATTTATTATATATATATATATTTATTAAAATATATTTATTAAAATTTATTATATATATATATATATAAATTTATTATATATATATTTATTATATATATGGTTATTTTTACTAGAACTTTTTTTTTGACACTGCTAACTAGAGTTTTTGACACTGCCAGTGTTTCAACCGCCTCCCGCAGTGCCACATCCAACGGTATGTTTTGACTTTTATTGAGATTCCTTTCTTAACACACCTATCCTTCAACTATACACCTTATTATTATCTTCATATAGCCTACCATTCCATTACCGCTTTCAAAAAACTAAATGTCAATTGTCATCTATATATAGTACAACCTGTTTTTTGTTTCTTTATCATCATAACCTTGTTTTTACATTTATTCTTACATTTTAAAGTATTCTTTTAAAATTATTGTTTTCTTATAGAGTTATTTATACTTAATAATCTATCCCAACAATATTACACTAATGTTACCCTATTAATCTTTCAATTTCTTCACTTCTTAACCTTTGGTCCCGTTATCTGTTTATTTACAATTAAAGGTAACCTCCACTTGCTTGTTATCCACTGATATCTTATTATTATGTTATCTTATCCATATTTTAACTTTACTGTAACAATAGTTATTCAATTTTCAATCAATTTATTCGTTAACATTCATTTATTCGTTAACATTCATGTATTTATTTTCTTTTATCTATTTTCTTATCATGTATTTATTTTCTTTATCTTTTATTTCTGTATCTGACAACTTCTTCGTAATTTATATATACTTATATTTATTTTTTATTTTATTTTTATTTTTTCAACATGTTTGTATCTTTTGTAGCCCTGAAGACGACCTGCAAAGTGGGTCGAAACGTCGGCAAAAATTAAAATTATTTATATATTTTAATTTTTTTTTATTTTTTTGACCGCACCCTCGACTAATTCCTTCTCATATCATATCAACGGTCAACCAACTCTACATCATCGTAATTGTATATGATTTATAGTACTTTAATTTCGAATGTTTTAAGAAGAGGAGAGCAATAAAATATCTTGAGGAGGGGACAGGGAAGAGGGAAGGTTCATGCGCCATCGACCTTATGGGTGAGGGGATGGGCACCCCTGCCCGAGGATGATCCTCGGAACTCAGCATTACATCCAACCTTTTTTTCAAGATGGCGGCCGAAAGACTTGCGTCGTTATAGGCTGTAGCGCCTGTAGTGATATACTGATTTCAATCAAACTTTGGCTAACATTTTCTCCTCGAAGCCCTTTAAATTTATGTATAAAACATAATTCACCGAAAAGTACTTTCTTATCAAAATGGCGGCTGAAAAACCTGTACTGTATAGACTGTAGTTCCTAAACGAATGTACCGATTTCAATGAAAGTCTTCTCCTTCGAAGCGCTTTAATTTACTTTTTTTTTTTGTCCTTCTCTACTTTGCCTTTTAGGCTATACGGGATTTTCCCGTAAAAGTTACGAGGGGTGATAAATTAGATTTTCGAATAACTCAAAGTATACACCATTGTAAATAGATACTACTGTAAATATGTATATAAATTATTATTTCTTTCTTCATTATTTTTACTACAATTTTTTCATTATTTTTTTTTTTCACTAAGACTATTCAATTACTCTGTATTTTTATTTATATATCTCTGAGCCCGCACCTAGCCCACATTTCTGTCTTGCTGTATTATTATAAATTATAGATTGGGTATTACAAAATACCCTTTTCAGTTTCTAAATAATTCAGCGTTTGTATCTCTCGAAAATATGACTCATTTGAACGAAATCTAGAACTTAAACTTCTTTTTGTAATCAATATTCACCCATAGAGTCGTAAACAAGATGTATTGTAGAGATAAAGAAGACACTTTTAGTCTGTGGGCTAATTGAAGAATCCTATTGAAGAATGATATACAGGGTTTCGTAAGTAGAAGGAATTTTTTATAGGAGTGATTGCACACTCCAAGAGCTACATAAAA